AATATATTTTACTGCTGATTTCATGTTACTTAAGTAATTATTTCTCTGACTTTGATGCTCTTCAAATATGAAATTCTGTGAAACCGTTTTCTTAAAGTTGTTACTGTTGATAATTCAATGAAATATTTGCAGTTTACTGTTGTGTTATACAGTGTCTTTAATTAAAAAATTTTGGTTTTGTAGTTTCATCAGGTCCTTCATAAGCCAACGCACTTGCCCTGTCTGGAAAGAAACCATTTATTTTAGTTGAGCTAAAAGTTAGTAAGCGTGTTAAGAAGGATTTTTAAGATATATAACCAGTGTGTTTTGAAAGACCACACTCTGTTTAGGTCTGTAATCAGCATGTCGCCGGACAAGATTTTGAACCAAGATATTTGGAAATTCCGGATGTCCCAGAAAATACCTTCAGTTTTGAAACAGTGCCACCGCTAGATGTTAATGTTCAGCCCTCTTATAGTGCATGGTACTAAGCTTTCTAGATCGTAAGTTTTTCCAAAGAATGAATGATGACATAAAAATATAAACATACTGTAAAATACAGAAATGGTGCTACTTCTTTTGCATTTTCCTTTAAAAATCTACTACGCCGAGCCATTCACTGCCTTGGAGCAGCGTTGTCGACCAGCAACACAAGTCGTGTATTAATGACAAAAGCTTGCTCTTTTTCTCCGCCAAAAAAGCCATGTTTTCTGACAGTGGTTGCAAAATTTTCTACTGCTGATGCCTGAAACCACACTGACGCCTGACGCTTCGATGACAGTACATAAGAAGGCCTAAAGCCATTTAGGATCAATAGCGCTCGTAGCAGAAGAGTCTGTTAAAAACAACAGTTCCTGCTGAGTTAGGAGGGAAGCGTAAATGTGTTCATTTCTGACAACCATTGTTGATCGTCTAGTAAAGTGCTTAGTTTGTGGTACAATAGACTCATCACTTAAAACAGTTTTTATTGCACTTCAATGGTCTCAAATTGAGACTACTTAAAATATTTGCATAGGCCGGCAATTACAACCCCTAACTAAGTTTTTTTTATAAAAGAACTATATTCGACATTGATAGTTTTTGTGAAGTTTTCTTCAACAAGTAGTCTTATTTGTTTGTTGTGGCATTGTAAAAACAATTATATAGTCCGTAGTTTTCGAACTGTATCAAAAAACTTATATATTTTCAAAGGTTTTCTATATGGTTGTCAATGTAGTTTTTAACCTTTTTTCTTGGACGTCTTAAACGTCTTTAATGTTAAAAATATTAGTTTTGCTTCATTTTGATGACAAAAAAGTTGCTTAAAATGATATGAATTAGAAACGGTATTTCAAAAAACTGTTGTCTAGTTCATTAACTTCTATGGTGGATTTTTTAATTTTATACAACGTTGTTTTTTAAAAAGACTTCGTTTACTTCACAAAACTGCTGTAATGAGTTGTATCGTATCAAAAACTTTGTTTTTTTGACGAATATTTAATTAATTGTCATTGTATCGAACAGTTCATTTCGCCAGTGTAGCACAACTGTTGATTTCTAGATTAAATATGGACGTCAAAAGTGACTATAATTTTACCGAGGTTAGTATGTGGTCAGCAGTATCCATCATTGCCGGGTATCGAGCAGACGAAGTTGTATTAGCTGAGCTAATGTGTATATCCTCAATTTCTGTGTGGTGTCTAAAACCAGTCAGCTTTTTTTTTCTGTTTAACTTTAATAATACCTAAAAAATTGGTTTCTAAAGTAGCTGCGTTACCGTTTCTTAACCAAAAAATAGTTTTTTAAATCGTGTAAAAATGATAAAAGCACACAAATTTTTCCTATAAAAAGGAACTAGGATAAAATAAGGAAGGATAATTTTTTTTATACGGTTACATTTCTTTTTTCAATGCAAAATTTATCAGATTTTGACCAGTTTTTTCTACGGTTTTCAAAATATCTTGAAGGTTCCGTATCCAATAGCAAGGCAGATGCTTGGAGCTATAGGTGGCCTACTTTTAGGATACTACCTTATTGAAAATGCAATATTTTACTCATTTATTATCCTCACACTAAATTACGTATTTGTATTCTTTTTGAAAACCAGGTAAATCCCAATTTTTAATATTATTCTCAATTTTTCTAATTCATTTTAATTTTGCGACTCTAAAACCTTTGTTTGTGTACTTTGCAGAAAACTGCTGAAAAGTAAGGAAGAAATTAAAAAGTTCAATAGTAATTCTACTTTACAGATATCTTCCTTTAATCAGTTTTGTGTGTTTCCTCACCTACTTTGGCTTCCTACGATATGCTCACAATTTTATTAGCGGCTTTTATCCATTAAGCACTCCAGCATACTTATTTAATCTTATAGTCATATGGCGTGTGAGTTTAATGCAAACTCTCTATCTGAAGACTCAATGTAGATGAATTAGATGGAAAGTCAGAAAAGTAGTGTAATTTCAATTAGTCCAAAACCTCTTTATCCTTCAATGAGATGAAAAAATGTCTCTTATCTCTGGTACCAAATATTTTTTTGTAATGAAGTATTAATTAAAGCTATCTTAGCTTTTTGGTTTGGTCGTAGAGATGCGAAGTGCAGGAAATGAGTACAGGAGCGACCAGAGGAAAATCGTTTCAATCAAAAAACCAAATTTTCTACAAATTTTTTTGTACTGTTACAATGTTTTTGGTCTATTTACAGGTAAGCTTTGAAAGTAGGTGATTTTTACGGTTATCGATTATACAGTAGTAGTTAAATATGAATTTCTTTTTTTAATCAAGTGAAAAATGCTATACCGCTTTGTTTTAACCATATAAAAAATCCTTATTTCGCTTAATTTTAACCGTACTATAAACTCTAAAAAAAAAATGTTTAGGGCCATATTATAGTTACGAAGTGTATTCGAAAGCGTTTGAAAGCACTGAAATGGATCTAGACCTACGCCTATGGAACCATTTTAAAGGGCACATGAAAAGCCTTGTAAATGCTTTGCCATCTTTGTTCTTGCTGTTGTTCTTTAATCCTTTGGATGTGAGTATTTGTTGGTTTCCATGTCTATACAATATATTTTCAATAATTTATATTTTTTTGCTCTTTCTAGATTTGACTAGTCCTGTATAGACGTCATAAAGTAGAACATCGTTCTTAATGTTTTTAGGTTTGTCATTACTACAGCAACTGATTCTATGGGTTAATTAATCATGCTACTTTCATTCTTTGAAAGTTTTTTAGCAGTTCCGACCAAAGGAATTTACCGATGAAACGTTGTATTTTAAGTTGTATGCGAGCCTTTTCTCATTTATTTGGTTGCGCTCCAGGATATACTGTTTGTGGATGGTATGTGAATCCTTCTTTGCCATTAGCTCTATAGGTAAAACGTCTAAAATGGAAATGATTTGGAGATACGCTGGATCACTAACAAATAATTGGTAATTTTTTTAAATGTAACCTTTTCTCGAACCACATCTTCTGTAAACCTCGATTGGGTTCTTCATTTAAAAAAATACTGCTTCAGTTTGCTAGAGGAGAACAACAACTCTGAGGTTTTTGTAATTCGAAATAAAGACGGTACCAGATGCGTAAAAGCTGCTTCTTCTGCCTCGGAATCTAGTGATTTTGAGAAGCAGCAAACCTTGCACAAAGTGGCTCAACCTCTCCTCTACATTTACTGGTTTGTCCAATTTATTTCGACAAACTTGTAGGAAAAAACCTTTATCCTAAATAAAAACACCTAAAATAGTATCGCTATTTGTCGATTACTTTCGCCAGTAAAAATGCGGTAATTCACTACACAAATTTAAAAGCTTTAATCAGGGTTTGAAGAGTAGTAATGTCGTGATAAACTGGTTACGGCCCCTACCTATCAAATCTTTTTCATTGATTTAGTCTGACATTGGTAATGCCTTTATACATTTGTTGGCTGGACAGTTTCACGCTCTATCGTGCTCTTGCACCTTTTGCTGCGCTAGTGGTCTTCAACACCAGTCTTTTATCAAGAAATTTACTAAATGTATTGGGCTACACCAAAACTTTTTGGGTCGCGTAAGTCCGTTAAGTCTTTCCACCGCAGTTAAGCGAGCCCTGCTGGATAGTTCACTTTTTATGAATTTCCAAGATGATAAAAATCAGTTTCAGGAATTATGTAGGCAAATACCTTGGCCTTACCTATTTAGCTTCCGGCTTTTTGCTCCTAAAATTCGAGGATCTTATCAGCTACTGCGAATTCATACGCAGTAGTGTCCACTTTGTTTTAACCGTAGGGGTTTTCATTGTGTGGCTGTTTAAAGCTGTCACCGGTAAGCATGTTGTGTACAGAAAATTGCGTAGTATGGCTCCAAAATTAAATATTTTTGGTACCAACACTAAAGTGTTTAAATTAACTTTGATTTTTTGCTGATTGCTGTAAGGACTGTAATTCTAGAATCGAATGAAACAAACGATCAAGAAATCTCAGTTCAACTTCATCGCAGAAAGCTAAAGGCTAACTGAATCTGTTATATTACGCTAGACAGGCGATTATCTATAATCACTTACAACCGTTACTTTACTGCTCAACAGTTGAGGTTAACTATGCAGTAGAAAGCGAAAATCTACAGAAGCTACGGCAGTATTTTCAGATTTTGTCGTTCATGCTTCTCGTGCACTGGACAGCAATATTGCATAAGATTGCCATATCTTCTGCAGTGAGTGGTGGGGGAGATAAGTTTTTATATTATATAAAGATCTTTTCCTGGAATGCTTTCGGGTGTTACTGTATCAGTTATCGAACTACATATTGAAATAAATGTCGTTGTTATAAGTTCTTATTCAGTTGTGAGTAACACCAGTGTGCTACTGATGTATGCCACAGCAAGGAGCTGGGTTTCACATTTGAATGCCCTTTTTTTCGTGTAGGACGACACATCAATTTACGTATCTTGCGCCAACATTAGTGGTTGACTGTATTCTTTTGGAAGTAACAGAGGCGGAAGAGCAGCATTGCTGTTTTTCCGTTCCTAATGCATACGAAAAAAGAAAAGAAGTTTTCCGTTCTTAGTAGTAGTTTCATGTCTTTCAAATACGTTTTAACAGCAGTAGATGAAGTTACTGATGCGGAAAAACGGATTTCTTTTAAAATAATTGTAAGTCATAGGAATCTGCTCTTTCTGTCTTACTCAGTAAAGACGCAGCAACAAGACGGAAAGTTTATACAGTGACTTGTCCCCGGAAGGATTTTCAAAAACCAATATTCTCCAAGTTTAGGTAAAACTCATTGACGGATTCTATTCATCTTTCTCACTTCGTTCTCTACTGCGTCAGACAACGAATCATTCTGCCTTTCAAGTAAGAGGAACAAACAAACGACATGTATTTTTTTTTTGCTTTCAGTACGAACTAAATGACGGGACGCCAGGAACTGGTATATACAACTGACTAATTCGTCTGTCACTGAAAATTTACATGAAATAGGTACAGCTATTCAAATGCACTTCCACCAGTAACCAATGTTTCTGTGATAAAACTGAAGCGACGAATATTGTTAAAACGGTAAACCTTCCCGAATCACCTTAAAAAGCCGTATTTTGTTACTGACTAACTGCTGTCTTCTTTTCGTCTCATTTTTATTAGCACTACTGTATGAAACAAGAGCAACGGTTCAATTGACTAAGCCTAAGAGAATTAATAAACGAATCATGTTCAGTGAACCTAAAAATATATAACTTCAGCAGCAAATCAGCCTTTCAATAGAAAATGGAAGAAGAAAATGCAGAAAATGTGCAATTATTTTTAGTTCAAACAAAGACGAGGAGTTAATACAACGCACTGCTTGAAGCGAACAGGAAATAGTCAGAAAACTATGCAGTTTAAAGACGTCCCCTTTTGTCCACCACAACAGATTGTTGAGTACAGTGTTCAGCAGTCACTTTTGTAAAAATTGTCCATACCGCAGATGGAAGAAAACTTCATGAAGTTCGCCGGATTAGCCAAGCAGCAATACCCATGCAGTGATCGCCACAGCACTAGTGCCACCTAGCAGCAGTTTCTGCTTTACTCAAACCAACAAATGTGAGAACAGCGAGCAATGAAGGCGTGGTCCCGTGGTGTAGTGGTTAGCACTCAGGACTTCTGAATCCTGCGACGGGAGTTCAAATCTCCCCGGGACCTCCTTCAGTCCAGAGGACTTGCAAAACTTTTGCAGATATCTGTCGCTATAAAGTCGGCTCTTTTGTGAGCAAAACAGGAGTTAGTCATCTACCCCACTTACCGCTTAGCGGTGTTTTCTCTAGTTCACTCCAATTAACAACGCATCACCGTTGTCATCGTGAGCCTACTGTAACTTTGTAAGGAGTGTGGGAATTAAAGTAAATCAGGATGATTGAAGAGGACAACAGACAGTCAGGAAGCCCTATATTGCAAGGGATTTTGCGTTTGCTTACACTGACAATAAAATAACAGCTTGCCCTCAAAGAAGTGAAATGAAAATTGAGCAAATCCTCATGGTTTCACTGGAAAGGACTTTAAAAGATTTACGATGAATGACCAGAAGTGCTGAGGTAGAAATCATCAAACTTTATGGACAATTTAGAATTAAAAAGTCGACGGTCTTCCGCATCGCCATCGGTGAGTTACCTGTCCACAACGAACGGGAGAGAACAGACTGGCGGTCCCGTGGTGTAGCGGTTAGCACTCAGGACTTTTGAATCCTGCGACGGGAGTTCAAATCTCCCCGGGACCTCTCACAACTGTTTGTTTCCCTCAGGCTGCCGTGGTCCCACGGTTTCTGTCAGTCCTAACGCTATACCGTCAGGAAAACGGATCTATTCCCCAGTTCGCAAGCGACTGAACAGTTTGTGACGCTTCACACTTGATAACACCTCCAGCGAGTTGGCAAAAAGCGCAGTCCTGCATAATTTTATTAAAAAGTGAAAAGCGAAGATGAAAAGAATGTCCAGCCAGTGTTTTGAAACCCTTACCTTCTGAACCAATGTCGTAACTACTATAAAAATTTGACCACGATCTGCCGTTTAATACAGAACGCATTACCATATGCTTGCCAAGGCATATGTTGTCGCCGAAGCAAATGCCGATACAACAAAATCGCAAGCACTTTAGAGAAGTCTAATGTACAGCAGTTCTTCGGATAAAATTTGCAGGATTTTAATTGAAAGGATGACAACCACATTTCACTGTGAGATGCAAAAAGCAATTCTTTTTCTCTGAAATTAAGTGAGTCCTAGCACACCGTGATCTTCACAGTTCCCAAAGTTTCCAGTACAAATTACTGCACTAAGAGGCCATGACTAAATCCAAATTTATAGCGCTCCTTACGGACAGATTTTTTGAATATTTCCACTAGTTTTTATTAGCCAAACTTCACCATGTTTTTTGCTTTCAATGCCAGTGTATATGTTCTTTCCCCAATCCAGTCAGTCATTTGTTCATTTAATGGAAGCGTTCGACGACGCAGCTTGCACATAGAGGGTTTGCATTTATTAGCTTAAATGTGTATACGTGAACATCTCTAAATTAAGGGATCTACGCAAGTTGATCACTTTTACCTTCAGTACAATGCACCAAGTTAAAATTTCAATATACGCCCCCAAATGTAATGCGGCCCAAACTTACGACTGAAAATTTCAGTAAACTCACCTTACAGTTGTTTCGTCTGGTCTTGAAATAGCTGTGTCGTTATTAGGATTGTAAGCATCAATTTCTTGTAGTGAATGTTCGGTGAAGCATATATCTCGTCCCGCTTTGGTCGGCTCTACTGTAACCGGACAGTTCACTGTACACAGTCGCGTGTCGAAAATTACGTGAATCGTTCGCTGACAAATTTGTTTGACACGCACAGTAGTATTCCAAACTACGTCTTTGAGTGAATAGCGTAACATCCCATCACACAGTTCCTTTTTTTCCCCTCCCCACGTTCCCAATACATCGTGCACGGATATCATAATATCATTTGGAAAGCAGTTCATATGACGCGATATTGCACTACCAATGGTAATGTCAAGGTAGCTAAGAAATTTGACCAGAAATCGAACAGATCAGGTCAGCACTCATTTCATATCACCCCACCGCTTGTGAACTGTTTGATATTTTTGATGCCAGCAAGTCACTCGAAGAACATAGTGTAAGGAGGTAACAGAAATGTATTTCAGGGATCCATCCGCCTTCAGCGTTTAACCCCTGCAAAACAACAAGCGTGCAATAAGCAGAAAGATGAACAGCACTTCTTGGTTTCTCAGCCCTTCGCGAACAATTTATTTGACGCTTGATTTCCTCACTACCGTTGAAAAACGGCATTCCCCGGCAAAATGGACGGGGAAGATGTTTAAAATGGCGACAGGTAATTTTAGAAGATGTAGAGAAAAGCCGTCACACAAAAAAGCCAGAGACTCCTCCATTTTTGTAGCGCCGCGAACCAGCTGTAGGTTCGACTGTCCCCAACCTTACTCCCGCAAAACCATACTGAAGGCTGCTCCAATGACCCGAATTGTTCTCCAAAAAATTTCCGAAAAACCAAACCTTAGAAATCCCTTCCTACCAGACACAATATTAATGGAGAAGGATATCAATAACTGCATGGCCAACAGGTTTTAAAATTCTTTCTCCCGCTTTTCTATCGTTTCAAAACCTTCAACAAAATTCTTTTGCTGTTTCATATTTTCCCGCCAAACGTATTACCACTGCTTGCGAAATAAAAACTTTAAACGTTGTAGCTCCAAAGGGCTTAATATCAGAAAAATTTGGTATTCTTTTGTGGTTCTTAATTCCTGGCTTATAGTGTTACACTGGATATATTTTTTGCTTGATTACATGTGTGTAGTATGTGAACAGTGATTTATTTTTAAATGAGAAATTCTAAACCATCAATAGGTGAAATGAGAGGGTAATTTCAATCTTAAGTAACTGCTTCTTTTCTTTCTGAAATATTTATTGTTAATTCCTTAGATTTCCATCTTCTCCGTTTACCTGAAGTCTAATGAATTAATCTTCGACGGGAATTTTGGGGTCCCTTTGCAGGTTGCCGTTTTTTGTTTATTGTGAAAACTAAAATAGAATTTACTGCAGTAAATGAACTGGCTTCGTGAGTGGACAAACTTTTTAAGCTTCTCTTAACCATTTATTTGTAAAGCATTTCATTTCCAAAATCCGTTTAAAAAACCCGCCAGCACGAAGTTTGTTTGTGTTGGAACAGTTCCAGTTTTTTGAACATAAAGTTTAAGATGTTTGATTTCTAGACGGTTTTCATGTATTCAGGAAGTTTATGTTGGAGAGATCTTATTACGTTGCTTCAGGAACAAGCTGACCGGCAGTGCTCGTTCGACGAGGAGATCAGCTATCGTTCTTCTGATTTTGAGCCGGTGGTCTGCGTTTTCTGTACGAGCCTGCTGCAATTCCAAAGACTCCCATCCATTCATAGAATATGTTTCTGTTCTTATCCGTACTCATTAGAATGGTCCAGGAATAAGCTGTTCAATTTGTCTTAGTCGAGTTGGAAGCCGGCCGTTTTTTTAGACTATTGGTCGTTTTTTTTTTTTTTTGCAGGTCTATTTTTTTGCAATTCCAGAAGATTTTTCATTTTGGAATTGACCTGTATTTGTTAGAATACTCTGGGAGTAAGCCATTTAACTGTGCTCTGTACTGTTTCTCAGATATTCAGGCATCTTACCAACTAAGTGCTACCGGATTATGATTTGGAGAGTTCGGTGAATAGCGTGGTTTTCCACTGCAATAGCAACATGGCCAAATTGAACTCGAAGAGTAGAATCGTTTGGTAGATTAATTTTTGAGGATGGGAACTTCGCTGAACAACTACTGGATCGTCTTTAAAGCGCTTCAGATACGTTTTTGCAAATCACGGTTCTGGTGAAGCGATATGTGCAATCTTAATTAATTTTTGTTCTTCCGCTGGTTCTCCGGCTCATGATGCGATCTCCATTTAGTTGCGTCCTTTTGAGTTTTCTACACCAAGATTTGGTTCACACGACAGAGTGGAGTCCAGTCGCTAGTTTGAATGCAACAGAATTTTTTAAAAACTCACTTTGGCTCATCAGAAACAAGTTTGTTTTTTATCTTTTTTTAATTTGCAAAGAGTTTGAAAGCAAAGATCATTCATTGGCGACAGATTGAGCTTTACATTTGATAAAACTAAAGTTTGCGAAGGCTGTTGCATCCGATAAGGATAAACTGGTGGGAGTGCTTTTTTCTGCCACATTTTTTAGAGAACGTTATTCGATTTGGGCAGGTTTAGTTCCAATAATTACTCACATAGATGTTGCGCATGTGAATCGCTCTTGTAACAGATTTGGGTGCGGGAGCAGTTGAAGATACGCTGTGATTTATCGCTTAAATTCAACGGTAACTTAAAGCGCGGCTTAAATGTTGAGAAGTTTTGAAGGTGTTTTTTCTGTTGCAGTGATGTCATCCGCGAATAGTTTGCCACTTCGCCGATCTCAAAGAAAAGTTGCTAAAACCCCGGATTTGAGTCTAGCCACCACGGAAAAGAGGCCCAGAACAAATAGAAGTGAGAAGATGGCTTTTTCAAAGCTGAAAGATACTGAAGAAGTTCAAGTTGGTCAGGTGGGAAGGAGTGGTAGTGAAGGATCAAAGAGGAATTTGAAAAAGCCGAGGAAAAAGGAAGCGTCTTCTGAAATAGGGAGTTTAACTTCGTCGTCGACCAATTTGAATGAAGAAACAGGTATAAAAAGTTAATTTAATTTGCTTTTTTTTACACTTTCTTGTAAACGAATTGTTATCAAGGCATGAAACAAACAGTGTCCGAACAAGTTTAACAATAAAGTATTTTCGACCGTGTTCCCAATGAGTAGTGTTCGTTTATCGTAGAATTGTAAGGCGGGGATATTTGTTTTTTGAACATTGCGCACTTGCGTGAGCATATTTTTTCCAGGATTGTTGATATCAGGTAATGTCACCTTTAGCATTTCGAAATTAAGCAGAACACCAAGGAAATGCTGGAGCCGTTCAAGTAAATTAGTCGAGTAGATTGGTGGACTCTGTCTTTGATAAGTACTGTTTTCATTATGGGGGCATTCGATCAGCGGTCGTATCAGTGTTAAACTTGTTCAACCATTAAAAATATGTTAGTTCCCACAGTTGCTCGATCAATTTGGTGTTGCGCTTGAACTATCCTAGGATCATCCCTCAATTGGTTTTATTTTAGTATTTTGTTTGAATTAAAGTTCAATTTTTGGTGTTTCAACATTCAAATGTACCCATTTAGATGAAAAATTGGAGCCGGAGAAAAAGAAAAAAAAGGTTGTGGTAGGTTTAAGTGACGAACAAAAGTCTTCTGCAGAAATACTAGGAGCTAAGGTTTTAATGGCAGCTAAGGGTAGCCAAAAAATGATTGGGATGCATACAAGTGCCGCTGGTAAGTAGTATGTTTTTGCCTCTCAAAGAAAGCCGTTCTTTTTTTGTTGTCTTTGTTCAACGTAGTTCACTGTTTAATAGTATCATTTCCAGATTTATCTGTTCTTTTATTATTATTTTTCATTCTTGTTCTTTACCTTACTCGTCACTGGTACTTTTTATTTTTTATTTTTATTTTTTGCATAGTGTCTGAACAGTAGTTATTTTTCAGTATTAAGAGGACCAAAGTTTTTCTTCTGGAAATTCATTTTTTGTTGTGGTGCTGTTGATGGCGTATAGGATACTGCAGCCTTATCATCTTAATTATTTACTCTTACCTCTCAAAAACTTTCAAGGTAGTTTGGAACAATCAATTTATAATGCAGTGGCTGTCGGATGTCGAGCGTTTGCTCTATTCGTCCGTAATCAGCGGTGTTGGAACGCGCCTCCTTTACTTGATGAGGTTGTCGAACGTTTCAAGGAAGCTTTGGAAGTATGAAGTTCTAACTACAGGAATGCCTGAGATTTTTCATTATGGTTTTATAAGGATTTTGGTATCGTCAGGAACTTCTCTTATCATTTCTTAAGGTAAATTTTTTTTTAGAAATACCCATATCCGTTACACTTAATAATGCCTCATGCTTCCTACTTAATAAATGCTGGTTCGTCTGACCCTGAGAAGTTGGAGAAATCTCGTGCTGCTATGCTAGATGAGTGTGAACGATGTGAGAAACTTGGAATAACACTATATAATTTGCACCCAGGTATGGATGTTGTTAATACATTTCATTAATTTCCTTCTCGAGTGTTTTTTTTTTTTTATTTAGCATTGCTTTGTTTTCGTTTTAGAGATAAGTTACCAGTGTAATAACTTCGTAGAGTGGCTGTATAAAATAGCTCTTTGGCTATCGTAAATTACCCTCGTTTTAGTTTTTATCTTTTTTCCTTAGTATCTTTAGAAGGATGGAATTTTTTTAAAAAGTAACGTTGTATTTCTTTTCCCTGTGATGGGTTCCAGAATAACAGTAAAACTTTTTTTTTTTGCATCTCTGGTAGTTCTGAAAGTCATCCAGTTGTTCTGTTAAATTACGGATAAAAATCTTGTTATTTCTTACTTTTAAAAGATTTCTAGTACTTTTCTATAATAAGCTTAGGTCTGCATTATGTTTGTCTGCGTTGACTCGTTACTTCTGAAATATTCTTGACATTGCAGGATCTACTGCTGGGTCGTGTACGAAGGAGGAATGCATAAGGACAATTGCAGATACACTCAACTATATCATCGGAAAAACGAAGTTTATTACGCTGGGTGCTTTTTTTTTTCTTGATTTTAACTTATGTTTCAAAGAAGATAGTCGCTTGACTTGCTGCGTTAAATGACGCAGTCGAAAATGTTTGTTATTTTTAGTCTGCTCCCTCAAAAAGATAATTTGCTTCAGCGTGTTTTATTTCTTTGATATTGTTACAGTGCTTGAAACTATGGCGGGCCAAGGGAACACGATTGGTGGCTCCTTTGATGAGTTGCACCAAATTATATCCTTGGTAAAAGATCAGAACAGAGTGGGAGTTTGCATCGACACGTGCCATATTTTTGCCGCAGGTTAATTTTTGTTTGGGTACTTACAGTTTTCACAATGTATACGTTTCCCGTACGGCTTCTCGGTAAAGTTTATTTTCAAATGCTTCTTTTTATGTATGAAAGCAGGTGTACTGTTTAAGGGTATGATATTCGTTCACGGGAGGCCTACGAAAGTACCATGGAGGAGTTTGATAAAGTTATTGGCTTTAAGTTTTTAAGAGGTTTACATATGAATGATTCTAAAGGTACGATTGCTTCTTTTAGAAGCTTTAACGGAATTTGGAAGTTTTTAGCGCAGAATGTTGTTTTCGCTGCATTTTTTGCAGTTCTACTAATAATTTGTTGATAGATTTTTCTTGAACATTTGCTTTTGAAAGACATGTTATAATCATTAGAAAAAGTTTGAACTTTTCATAGCTTGTTTTCTAGATGTTTGAACATTGCTGAGTTTGTGCTTTAAGCTAATTGAACGCAATTTGAATACCCAAAGATATTTACTGCAGTTAGTTTCTAAAACAAACGTGCTGTAAGAATTTACTCGAGTGTATTATTAGTTTTCATGTATTCTTTAAGGGGATTTGGGCTGCCACCTGGACCGTCACGTGAATATTGGTCATGGCAAAATAACTATGGTTGGGTTTGCCAATTTTATTAATGATCCCAGGTTGGATAACTTGCCAATGATTTTGGAGACTCCTGCAGGGAGCGAGCATTTAGAAATGATCAAATTATATAAAACTGCTAAGCAGAATATGAACTAAAGTCTTTGGAGTTGGTATTAGGCGTTAAAATGTGGTGTATTGATTTGTTGGATTTTTCTTCTACGGATTGTTTATATTCGTGAGCTAAATCAAGCAGTGTGATCTCGTTTTTTTTCTACTACTTTATACCTCGTACTTACTAGTAAAGCTCTTACTCTTTTTTAAAAAATTTTGATGGCTCATGTTTGTTATTTTCTTCTAAAGCTAAGTGCATCTCACTACTTTTAGAGTTTTAAGAGGATTTAGCAGAGGTTAAGCTGAAAGGCGGTATTTTTGCTCAAAAAACTTACTCATTTTATTATATGTAAAGTGACTTTTTGGGGGAAGAATTTTGTTAATAAAGAACTTGCGAATAAACAAAAGGTGCTGTTATTGTTAT